CGCCGTATACCTGTAAGCAAAAGTATCCATTGATGATTTTACCACTAGAGCAACAATTTCAACTCAAATTTATCTAATGACTGATGTCTACATGGAATGACTGACCATCCATGCAGTACAAGCAAACAAAATTTAAATAAAAGTTCACAAATTAGAAATTTATGATCCACGATTACTTTCCTTCAATATTCCAACTCAGAACTTACATATGTTAATGCCACAGCTAATTTCTGGATATTATTTAACAAAATCCCAATTGGCTGTTTAATGAATGCCCTTGTCTTCAAAATAATCTCTTGATTACTATATCTACAGGAAGAAAAATAAAATCCCACCAAACCATTCATGCACATTTAAAATTATTAATTTATTCCATACAGAAAAAATTACAGATTACCCCACTAAGGCACGAGGTTAATATCTCAAGAAAACAGAATGTAAAACACGAGAGGACAATTACATGTCTAGCGTTGGCAGTGGCTTGAGAGTGGGACTCCAGAGAGCAGAGGATGTCTCGGTCGTCCATCAGCTAGCACTCCTAATACTATCCGAAATCGCTCAGGTTCGTCTGCTTCCACACTGATTCGAAATTTGAACTCATCGGGGAAATATGGTCGAAGGAGACGATTGGGTTCCCATATTAAGAAAATTTCATTTTACTCAGTAAAACACACAGTTTACCCAAACCAAAGGAAGAGAGAAATATGATATGGAAAGACAGATCCACACAACTTACAAATGGATAAAATTATAGTAAGAAAGTACATGAAAACTGCGTGCGGAATAGATAGATCAAATCCAAAAGAAAGCAACACAAATTCATACAATACCCAAAGTAGACTGGATGCTGCAACCATATATCAACTATGTACATGAAAAAGATGTAAACAAACAAACTCAAGAAGCAACACAAAATAAAGACACATAATTTGTTGCCAGATCTTCTCGGAATAGGAAATCAGATGCACCTGCTTGCACCTATGAAAAATAAAACAAAATTAGAAAAATTAAGTTTCAATATTATATAGAACTTAGAACATGCACAAATAATATATGAGAACTCTGTTTTAGGGTGTGATTACACCGAACTGTTTTGGAACCATTCAATGGGAAGGAATATAAAGCTTCAACCTTTATTTAATAGTTAATGTAACGTAGTGTAATACAATTTAAATTTCACTGCACATTTTCAATAAATATGTAGAGTTTTAGAAACTTACTCACCTAAGAGCGTTGGTAGGGTTCTTGTGCTTTTCTCTTCTTATGTCTGCCGTTGCACCTTCCAACAAATTTCTGCTGGTATTTCTCCACCTTCTTCACCACCCACCACGGTTTTCCTATAGTGAACGCAATGTATCCTAGACTAAGTCCCAACACCAGTCCACAACCATAACCCGCCAATGCAAACTTCCACTCAAAGGGTGCTACAGAGTCATCTTCTTCATCAAATTTTGGTGCAAGTGCTCCCGGTTCTTCCTCGTTGTGGCATTTCTTTGACAACGGTAATCCACACAACCCAGAGTTCCCAATGTAGGAATCATTTGAGAAAGTGTTGAACTGATTCCCTTGAGGTATTTGGCCCACAAGATCATTGTGTGAAAGTTTCAAAACGGCAAGGAATGTTAGATTTGTCAATTGCTCAGGAATCTTGCCTTCAAGCTTGTTTGATGAGAGATCCAGTGATTCAAGTTGTGTCATTTTCCCCAAGGATGATGGAATTTGACCAGTGAGACTGTTGTGGGACAAGTTTAGCAACAGAAGTGAGTTGAGATCTCCAAGCTCCGCAGGAATCTGCCCATGAAATTGATTGCTCGAGAAATCAATAGTTGTGAAAATTGTAAAGATCCTTACAAGCTCCACCTCAAAGCCTTTCAGTACTACCTTCACTGAATCATTATAATAATTATCAGTATCACCGATGTATTTCAATTTGGCTATATCAGCTGGAGTTACATCTTTCATGCATGTCCAATTTCTGAAATAACCACTCGGTAGGAGACCCATGAAATCATTTTGCGAGACATCAATGATTCTCAACTGAGGGAAGTAAAATGCAGGCCTAGAATTGGTAATGGCACCATGAAATCGATTAGATCGAAGGATGAGAACTTGTAGCCATGGAAGAACACCTAACCAATGCGGAAAGGTGTCATTCAAGTAGTTGTTCCCCACATCTAGAACTTCCAAGTCATCGCAATTAACCAAAGATGGAGGCAGTCTCCCTTCCAACTGGTTGCCATTTAGTTTGAGAGTACTCACTTTACTCCTGTTGACAAAAGAATTTGGTATTACACCATGAAACTTATTCATCTGCAGGTCCAAGATGGAGAGATCACTTAAGTTTCCAAGACATTTTGGAATTTTCCCTCCCAAACTATTATTACCTAAGTCCAGAATTGTAAGAGAAGTCAAATTGCAATAAGAAGATGGGATTTCTCCGGTCAAATTATTTCCTGAAATGAAGAGTAGCTGTATAACATCCGAAGTTGTTGATGGAATGGGAAGTGATCCTTGTAGCAAGTTGGATCTAAGGTCAATAGATTCAAGATGTCCAAAATCAAATGAATCAATACCAGTCAAGAAGTTATAAGAAAGGTCTAATGTGTCCAATGACATCCCTTCTATTTCCCATTTGTGAATGTGACCAGAAATCTTGTTCTTGGAAATATCCAATACTTGCAAACTCTTTACCTTCCTTAAGAAACTTGGGAACTTGTATATGTTGCAAGAAGATAACATTAAATACTGAAGGCTTGAGAAGGAATAGTTGACATCAGTGTCATTATTGTTCAAAGATAGCCAACCATTATTGGAAAGATCAAGTGTCTCAAGGTGTACAAGCTTCGAAAGCAGGTTGGGTGTAATGGTGCCACTTAGATTATTAGAAGAAAGATCAAGAGTCTCAAGGTGCACAAGCTTCGAAAGTAGGTTGGGTGTAATGGTGCCACTTAGATTATTTGAAGAAAGGTCAACAATAACAAGCTTTACAAGATCAAAAAAAGAGCTAGGGATCGAACCACTTATCTCATTATTGGACAAAAACACATCTTCTAAAATGAGGTTAGGCGTCTCTATATGATCAATTGAACCTGTAAATCTGTTGTTACTGAGGTCTAAAGAGTATAAAGAAGGCAGAGAAAACAACCAAGATGGTACTCGACCTAATAGCTTATTTGATGACAAAGACAAGGAAGTAAGATGGGTGAGGTTGAAGATTGATGCAGGAATTTCACCACCAAAATTGTTTGCATCTAACCTCAAATAAGTTAGCTTATGCAATTTTCCAAATAATTGTGGAATCTGCCCTTGCAAAAGGTTGAGAGAAAAATCTAGGAAGGTTATCTTAGTAAGATTTGCAAGAGATCTAGGAATTGATCCATACAATTGGCAATCATGAAGTTCCAATTCCCTCAGGAGCTTAAGATTTCCTATTGAATCAGGCAACTCTCCTGAGAAGTTTGTTTTTGCAAGATTCAGATACTCGAGGGTACTACTCCAGTTTGACTGAGGCAAATTAGCTCTTAAATGAGAGTTGTAGCTTAAATCAAGAAGCTGAAGAGATGGAAGCTGAAAAACTTGCTTTGGAAAGTTTCCTTGCAAACAACAAGCTCTAAGGCTCAAATACTCGATGGAGGAAGTCAAGTTTAGCAAGGAAGAAGGAACAATCAGAGACATATTCATAGTATCAAGGATAAGAAATCTTAATTTTGTTAAGTTTTGTACAAGCATTTGAAACTTCATGTTGTCAAGAAGCAAAGGATAATTATAAGAGAGATCGAGTGAAACTAATTTTGGTAGCGAGAAGATCTCAAACAAGAGAGAGTCACCCATATATGCCGAACCTGCACGGTTAAAGATTTGTCAAACTAGAGCAAGTGAAAAAAAATTTTGGAAGCATGGAGATTTCAAACAAAAGAAAGTAATGAAATCTTGTACCTGAGAGATAGAGAGATGTCAAACTTTTCCAACGGTGGAACCCAAATGAGATGCTAGGATAATAAAAATAATTGTCGGCAAGGTTAAGGTTCTGCAATTTTCTGAGGCGGAAGAGACTACTATTTGTGGTTAGATTGGCTTCAAGACAATTACTGCTAAGATCAAGGCCAATCACATGACCTTTTTGCTTGTCACATATGATACCCTTCCACAAGCAGCAATCTATTCTCTGGTTCCAAGTTTGTATCATATGACGAGTAGTATCACGACACTGCAATAAAATAGTAGTGCTTTTGAAATCAAGCAACGCAGAACGCTCTTCAGGACGGCACAAATGTAGTGGTAAATCGGGAGAAGATTGAGAAGGTGAGGAGCTTTGGACTTGAAACTGTAACAACAAGAAGCAAAGGCACAGGACTTGGGAAAACCATATTAACCTTCCCATTTTCTTAAAGATGAAGACAGTTCCGCAAAGAAAGGAGTGATGGATTATTCAAAATTGAACGGCTGGACACTAGTATTTATAGTCTTCCTAAAAGTGAATGTCCTTCAGCTTTCTTCCTAGTTTCCTGGAAATTTCTTTAGCACAATAAAAGTCAATAAAATTTTTTCTCTATCTTTCTTATAAGAGGAAAAAAATATTGTTCACACCATTAAACTTTTTTAATAGCTAGTATAATTAAACTTTTTTTTTTTCCTAATGCACGTAATTAAACGTGTTGGAACTTGGAAGGTTTAGCCAAAGCAACTTTTCATATATATACTTTAGGATTAATTTAATAAACAATTTAGTAGTGCACCGAGAGAAAGTACCAAGAAATTGCAACAAGCATGCAGAAGCTACTCTGCAACACCACAATAGGTAGGCAACTTTGTCAACATAGCCATTAATTCCAACTGTTAACTTCCAACTACTAACTCCCAACTGCATTCTCACGTCATTTATTGCCTTACGTTAGATTTTACCTTTAAATAGTTGTGTTTCTTTCATTGTATGGTATAAGTTTTATCAGTTAATGAAGTTTCAATTCTCCTCTATTTTGAGTGAGTTTTTTGAGAGTAGATTCTCTCAATTTATCTCTGTATCTTAGGTCTTACAAACCTAAGTGGTGATCCTGGCAATCGAATTCATCGTAATGAGATTTTAAATCTCACCAAAATCGATGTTTCGGTATCGGCTCCTACGCCAAGTAGTTTTTGTACTTATTTTGTTTTATTATTATTTTTAAATATTTTTAAATTTATATATTATCTATTACTTTTATTTTAATTTAATTTAGTCTGCAAACTTTCTATAATTTCACCTTATTTTGACAAATTGATCTTTAATTATATTTTTTTTGTGAATTTTTACTCTTTGAAATTAATGTTGAGATAAAACTAATTAATGTGAAGAGTAAATCAACCGGTGCAGCAAAAATATATATAATATGTTGCTCCCAGGATGTTTCAGTTTTATAATTGCACTCTATAAATATATATTATTCATAGAGTCACCTAATTCAAAACACTCTTCTTTACCCAAGAATATTTAGAGGATAAAGCAGGGCAAGAAGAGTAGGAAAATGTGGAGGAACTTCCTTTTTTGAGCAAATAGAACTCTCATTTGTAGGTTAATAATAATAATAAATTGGACAATTATTATGAAATAATGTGTTACTAAATAAGATAATTAACCTACAATAATTAATTTAACTAAGTGTTTAATAAGACAATAAATTTAATTTATAAAATATATTATTTTATTTTTTATTAAAATATTTAAGTTCTAACACATTCACATAATTTTATGCATTGTTTCTTTTCAAAATTCAATCTTTTTTTCAATGAATAAAAATCCAAGTAATCTGATATACTAAACCCACGCCACATGCTTCTAGCCCAATGATCACGACTTCCCCTTTTCCTTTTTCGCTTTCATTCCTTTCATCAATTATTAGAGGAATTAATGTTTCACTTTCTTCTCTACACTTTTTATTCATTAATTATGATTCTACACAAAACTTTCTTCTTTACACTTTTCACACATTAATACATAATCCAATATTTCATAAAACCTTAACTTATTCCATTTCCTTCTGTTGAAGAATTCTTCATTACAATTTTGAGATACTACATCAGTAGTATTCTAACCAATAAAAAGCTAATGCATCATAAGATTTTCTTTATGTCACATTCATCAGAGGTTTCTCATGTCGGCTCTTATTAATTATAATTTTCATAAATAATTGAATTATAAATAACTATTAGTTATCACATATCAAGTATTAATTGTGAATTGTCTTGAAACAGTTAAATCAAATATAGTAGAAACTCTTGACTTTTTTTTAATACTCTTGACTATTAGTTGGATTATTCAAAATTGAACGGCTGGACACTAGTATTTATAGTCTTCCTAAAAGTGCAACTCCTTCAGCTTTCTCCCTAGTTTCCTGGAAATTTCTTTAGCACAATAAAAGTCAATAAAATAAATATAAGGTCAGTGATATATTGCGCACTAAGAACAGATATATTGGGACATAAAATTTTAATCCTATTGCCTGCAACCATAGGAAAATTTATCATAAGAACTAATGCCGAAATTAAGGAATACTTCTTCATTAAAAAATCGAAGTAATATATATTTTTTATTTATCTTTTAATTTAATAGAAAATTATCAATGACTTAGTTATTTCTTATTTTTTAAGGAAAATTTTTCCAATTTATTTTATTTTTATAGTTTAACAAAGAAACAACTATTACTACCAATCCAACATTACCCTAAATTTAGGGGCATATAATGAAGATTAGTTGAACAACTTGCTTTTTATTAACCAAGCAAAATTATAACATAAGGAGTATAAGGATACTCCAACCCAATAATACTACAATACTACGAATCACACAATCAAAGATAATCACAATTCAGTCCAAGTCCGACCTCTGAAATTACAAATTAATTAAACTGAGTATATTTTGCAGGGAAGCATTCGCAAGGGACAAGGAATTAGATAGGATACCAGTATATTTTGCAGGGAAAACATTCACAAGGGACAAGGAATTAAATAGGATACTAGTTTCCTTTAAGACTTTCTCAATATGCGACAAACTAGTGATGGGTATTATTTAAAAAAATAACAAAAACCGCGTCAGGTATTGTTGAAAAAAAAAATAAAAACCGCATTAGGTATTGAAAATGAAAGATTGAGTATGGACAGTGGCTTTAAGCGTTTGATAATTATGTTAGAAATTAATAATAAATTTAAGATATCAAGATATATATATAAAAAAAAAAAACAAATTATGTATCTTAATCTCCATTATTAGTGTGTAAGATTATAGTGTTACCAAGGATCATCAAAGATCATCAAAATTTCAAGTCAAATTTGCAAAAAACTATTCAACTTTTGTTTAATGAAAACCAATACAATATATCACTCCCTTAACTCCACTATTTATAAAATTCAACTTTTTTGAATGGAAGACGAACTTAGTCCATTATAATAATTTTTTGGGTGCCCCCATCAAGCAATTTATGTTCAATTTCAGATCTTACACATATTCATATCATACCATATAAATCTAAAATAAAACCTAATACTTAGATCACATAAGCTTTATTAAGCTTTATTGATTTTCTAAGCTTTTCTAGTTTCTATTTAACCCATTTTTATAAACCAAAAGACAATTAGCGATAGCCCACATGGAATTTTCTAACATTCTCCCACTTGGACAACTCTCATTGGTTTTGAATATATATATACACACACACACACACACACGAAAAGTGTAGTGCAATCCGGATTGTACCAATTGCACTACACTAACCGTTAGATGGGGGTGGGCCCCCTGATATTAGAGGTCCTCCCCATCTAATGGTCCTTGTTTTAAAGTTCGATGTAGTTTGAATTGTAAAACAATGTTACCATATATATATAGAGTAGGGATTTATTTATATAAAAGTTTTACATACTATATATACACAAAATCTCAATTATTTATTTATTCACTTTTAATAGTCAAAATTTATTCACATTTAACAAAGATAATTATCTTTTTTATTTAAAAAAATTATATTAAATGTCAACCATTGAAAGTGAAAAAATGAATTATTAAAATTTTATGTAAGTATAATGTGTTAGAGTTGTGTGTCAATTGATCTCCCCTCATATATAAATATATAGATATTAAAAATGACTTTTAAGTCAAACACAAATTTAGTGAACACAAATTTAGTGGCTAGCAATGTAAAACAAAATCTCAACACATAATTCCATTTAATGAAAATACTAATATTGGATTGTGTGGTCATTATATCACTAATCAACACAAGACCCCTTACAATCATAAGTATTACCTCCACCAATATTAAGTTCAATAGGTGTAATAAAGTGTAGTATGGTTTAACATAATATGTAATATGTTAAAACCACAATAGTCCTCTTTATGGTTTTAAAGAAACCTTTATTAAGATATAATCCCTGTTTACACTTCCCCAAAGAAGCCTTTAAATTATATACAGGTTTCATAGATTCCCATGAGATAATTTGCCTCACTTCTCTAAAATTGTCTTTACTCTTCAAATGAAGTTCATACACTTCTAGGGAAGCCTTTACACCCCAAGATCTTGATATCAATATCTATACATATGAGCTCACAAAATCATCAATAGAATGCACTTGCATCATTATAAACTAATATCTAAAATAAAGCTTATTATTGACAGAGAAATTAACTTCTCCCACTGATCAAAATATTAAAAACAATTCTCATAGATAAATAAAAAACTATAATCTCCTGATTAGTAAATTAGTCGATACAATCATAATAATACATGACTATAATCATCATTCATAATTTCACCTTAATGTCACTTTTATTTTATAAGGTAAAATCAACAATTACCTTTTGATATGTCTTTTTCATTTGATTCTATAAATAAGTTACCCACAGTTGTACATTCCACATAATGATTGAATTGAGGATTTCTTTCTCGCATTGCTAAGGAGAAGACCTCAAGCAAATGTATGTGCCATTTTGTCCCTGTATAGTCATTAAAATATACAAATACCAATTAAAATTAATAATAAAATTAAAATATACAAATACCAATTAAAATAGATTTTAAATGCCAACAACTTAAGTAATTCAGTAGTAATATCACTAAAAACAAATTGTGCTATGCTAAAGAAAAAGCACCATTGAAAAACAATCCCAAGTACAGTCTAACAAAATAGCTTTGAGGTGCCAAGAACTATTGACAACCACTTAAGATTTTAAAATTTAAAAGGAAAAATAAAATAATGGATAATTAAGTGTGAAAAATATCAAAAAGAAGTCGCCACTTGTCCATATTATGAGGTGGGACAAGTCACTTAAAAACAGGTTTGCACAAAAATCAAGACTCGAGGGTTTGGTTAATAGTGAGAAAGGATATACTCGCACCTCATAATCCTCTATTTAAACACGGTTGCATACTTTAATATTGGAGTTTTAATTCAACTTATTTATTATTGTCATAACTCAAATTTTTAATAGAATTTTATTTTTATTTTAGTTTTATTTTTATGTTTAACTCATATGTTCACCTTTGCTTTTCTTGTTAGGTTCATGAGCAAAAAAGAAATTTCACGAAAGGAAGATGATAGAAGGGACTTAATTCAAGAAATCAAAAGTTGGAGGGGTGAAGTTCATCAAGACGAATTTACAAGTTTAGCCCATACCCAATCTAGCCCATTAAAACCAAACCCAACCCAACACCAACCCATTTCAATTTAAAGCCTCAAACCCAAAAACCCAAAACCCACAAAAACTTAAAACCCATTACCCAAAAACCCAACCCCACCAACTACCCAAAACCCATTTAACCCAAACAAACCCAAAAACCATTTAACCCAAAAAAAAAAAAAACGAAAAAAAAAAGAAGAAGTTAAAATCTTTTGCTCTCCATAACCTTCTTCTTCCTCCAGACCCCGGCCTTCTCCCTTTTCTTCCAGAATCTTCTCCCCCCGAACCATCTTCCTCTCCCCTCTGCACCAAGCCTACGCCCCCCTGCTCTGCACTCTACCCTACGTTGCGCCCTTGCCCCTCACTTAATTTTTCGACTTAGTATTTTAATATCTATTTATAATATTATCTATATTTTTTTTATTAACTTTTCGATATCTGGTAACCACGTTGAATCCGACTAATTCGAAATCGAGTCGCGTCAGACCTTACATAGAGGAAACTCTCCCGATACCTGTTTCTTCACTCACAATACTTAAATTCGAAATCTTATTTAAGAGGAATCGTACTCCTTCCACTCACAATACTTAAATTCGAAACCTTATTTAAGAGGAACCGTACTCCTTCCACTCGGATCAACATGTCATTAGTATTATATACATTTATTTATTTAAAATCACATTATATTACATTTAATACTATCTATTATAATTAAACATTGCTATTTTTTATTTTCAGAGAAGCAGGAAATGTCCCACAATTTTGTAGACCCCACTGCTGTGGATGCCATATCATGCCACGCAGTTTTAATCTTTGCTAAGTCATTTTATGTGGCCTATGAAAGGGTCAGATTAACGAAGTCGTGCCATGAATGGACTTAAAAGGTATTTAACAGACAAGTTACTTACTCAGGAGTTACACTTATCGCAGTGCTAGGGGCACTCGCCTCCTGCACTCTCCGGCCAACACTTCTCCTTTTATCAGGCCACGTTATTTTAGTTTGTCAAAGGTTGCACTTAAAAGCCTTCTAACAACCTTATGTGGCCCAATGCTGCTCTTATGGTGATCAATAAATTTGTTAATATCATATAAATTATTAAATTTTTATATTAAATTAATTATTTTAATATTTAATATCTAATAAAATAATTAATATTTATTATTAATATATACAGAGTGAAAATAAATAGTTTAGCCATCCGAATAATGTATATGGCATTGATTGTAAAATTGAAACAAATTTTTTATATTTTACCCAATTAAATATGAAAAGAGTGCATTTAGACAATTTACAAAAACTCAATCTGACTTAATAATTAAAACTTAAGATTTTAAATTAAAAATCTTAAATTTAAATTTTAAATCAAATAAAAAAAATTAAACAAAAAAAAATTATTCTCTTTTATACAACTCATTATCATTAAAAAAAAAAAAAACACATTCTAAAGTATGGAACGAGTTATAAGTAGGTGCACTTTAGATATAGAATCCATCACAATAACTACCAAATCAAATAGAAATGATACCTTTCCCTTAAACAAAGGGCCGGCCAGATAATTAATAAAATATCAAACACTCATGGCCTAAACGGCGTAAAGGAAACACCCTAAGTGGAAGTTTGACGATGGGTTTTCTTGCTACCTGAAAATGGACAGACGATGTAAGAAACAAATCACACAAATTACAAATGACACTAGATGGAATTTGACATCTAACCTGAAATTTTGGTTTTGTTCTGTTGTTCTGCTTCAGCTTCACTACTAATGTTCTTACTATACTTATTTTTCAATTCCTCTAGTCTCTCGGAACTCTACAATCAATCAGTTCCATTGCATTAGTATGAGCAAAAAGGGAAAACAGATAGATAGATGGATATGTAAAGAGATATGACATATGGTTTACCAGTTCCTCAAACAATGGCTTGGGTTCGCCAATTTTATGACCAGCAGGAACTATCTCCCATGGTCTTCTGGTCCTATCTACATCACCTTTTTTGTCAGAGAGTAAAACTAGTTCTTATTGAGGCAAATTAAGTTGCTTAAACACCTTTAAGTTCATAAAAGAAGTCAATGAATTAGTAAGAAATCATGTTATTTAATCTCATATGCATGAAATAAAAACTCCAAGCAGGTCTCTGTGTCTGCCAACCACATTTACCTCAACAGTAAAAGATGGCATAAATGGCTGCAACAAACATGCAAGAATGTGTACTAGCCCAACTGCAGTTTTCATAACAATAGAACAGCAAGGCTGGTCTTCTTTGTAGAGCTTCCAAAATTGGGTTTCCTGCATGTACAATTGCACATTCACAACAATAGTTCCATAACAAATCATCCGGGAAAATGAAATCATTATAGCTAATGAGCTATTAAAAGGTCTCCCAGCTTACTTGAAGATATGCATTCCCTTTACTGGAGATGCTCATTGCACACTTCAGGCCTTTCTTAAGTTTCACCTAGTCAAATTCCAAGGTAAAAAGTGTCTATAAGAGGAATCCCCAAAAAAAAAAAAATGGTGCAGTAGAGGCTGAAGAGGGAAGGGTTAATTTTCTTTTATTAATTGAAGTACAGTCATAAATAAACATTGTCACCTTCTCCATGGCTTCTACATATTCTTCCACACATTTACCAACTTGCTCTGCCAATGTCTTTGTTGAGGGATGTGATTCTGCAGCAGGCGCATCTGGAATAATGGAACCATACCCTCGACCTGTAAATGGTAAAGGTTAATTAAATCGACTGGCAAACTGAAGCCTATCTTATCCTTCCATTAATGAAATTATATATTTGTTCCATGCTCATAATAGTTATTTGGTTAAGCATAACAGACTTGACATAATGGTTGAAAGTGAGAACTTAATTTGGTTAAGCAATGGTATAACTTATGTTTGGAAACATAGGCCCAAATAAGATAATATGATGCTTTTGTTTTCCATCCTTTAATTTATGATAAAGGAGATTGCTTTGACTCCACTTGATCATCTGTGTTACCATCTTTGTGATGATGTTCTAGGGGCAGGTTTAAATACGAAAATTGAAATTCTCTGCTATTTTATTGTGGAGTGTATGTGCCTTTGGTTTACTGTATCTTGTGCTGGTTAACAATTCTTCTCTTATATAAAGGTGTTTACCCTTTTCTCTTTGTGTATGGTATGGTTCTGAGTTTCCCATAGCTGGAAATGATCTTTTAAAGCAATGGAAGTATTACATCTTGGATTTTTGTAAACTCCCCTTTATAGGTTATCATGAATGCAAATTCAGGTTTTCTATATTTTTGGGTCAAGAAGCCTCTAGTCCTCCTCAACACATGGTTGGATTTGGTTAAGGCTTTCACGGTTTTGGAGTTCTATAATTCTATTACTCCTCTGGGACTGGAACATGAGGGTGGATTGGACACAGTTGGAATCGATGAGAATGTAAGCAAACTAGAAAACTTACCTCTTTACTAAGTTTGAAATTTATTTTTTGGTGGGGATAATCAATCCATGTTGTTATGGAGAAGAAACGTGCTCATCAGTTCACCATCTCCGAATGGCAATACTCCTTATGATTTTGCATTCAGCAATTGTAAACTGATGACCTAAGCTTGGAAATCAATACTTATCTAAGGTATATTGTATTTGATTTGAGCTTATTTATCCACTGTCTGCTTATTTGATCTAAATAATTTACTTATTTTCATGGACAGGTTTCGATTCTTTGTTAGATTCGCGTAACTCGGATTGTTTCTTCAGGTGAAAAAAGTTTTGAGATCTGGAGGGAAATTCATTTGTCTTACCTTGGCAGAATCTCATGTTCTAGGTACTCTTTATGTTAACTCCGTTCGGAGAATGGAATTAAAAAAATATATCTTGCATTATGGCACCATATTAACTTCTCTCGAAGTTCTTTACTTCTCTTTACTTGTGTAGTATTTGAGATTATCTAATTAATGCACACATTTGATTTTGAGGATTAATCAATTACTTTCCTAATAGTTTTTTCATAGGCATGTTTTTCTTTAATCCTTGCTTGGTTGCTTCCTCTGCTAAGATACAAGTTGGTTTTGTTTTTTCATTCAGGTTTGCTATTCTCGACGTTTTGGTTTGGGTGGAATATGTGAGTGTTCACGGTATACCTCTGAAATTGTCCGGCAAGCCTAACCTCTGAATGGCAATACACCAGTGGGAAGATTAAAGAAAATCAGATTGGAGGCAGCCAAGTGGTTGAGGAAGTAGAAGAAGGCGCCTTTGCTATAAAGTCCTATGTTTTAGAGTTTCAGTCTTATGCTTAAGCTGGAAACTGGTTTGTATCAGACTGTTTCACGGTTGGTATATTTAATTTGTGGAATGCAGTTTCTCGATACCCTGCTATTTGTTTGCTAAAATTAGAGTC